GTGATTAAATGATTTAAGGCTCAAGGGTCAAGTGTATCTTGAAAGCTCTTGACATACTAAACATGTCTAATATGTGCATATCGTATATGTAGGTTTCCTGATGTTATCTCAAGTTAATTAACCGCTTGAAACTGGAAATCATTCCTAATCTGATATATATAATGGTGTACGACCGTAAGACTAAAACTCAATTATATATATTTTATAGAAAATTTAATCTTATATATATTCGTTTACTGTTTACGAAAAAAATTCTTATCATGTTTTTTTCGATACTTTTCCATTACGTAATATCGATAAGAGAAAATCGAACTAATAACAAAAACAATTGAGAAACGTGCAGAGCACAAAGATAGATTTTTGTTTGGTATTAATAGATGAACAAATCCTAATTTATAATAAATAATTAATGCAAACCAATTTCGGACTTAAGTTTATTATTATTATTTTTTTTTATAGATAAATATAGAAAATAAATTATTCGCACAAGCCATTTCAAATCCATACAATATTATATAAATAAATATATGTATATATTTATATATAAATAAATATGTTTATTTTAGAAAGTAAATATTAATCCCAACATGTAATTAATAAATTTTCACTAGAACCTAAATATTATTGGTATATTTATTAAATATTTGATATATTTATGTTTAAATAAAATAATTTAGGATTGAGGTAAAGCCCATAAGGTTGCAGTCTTATCCGCTGATGTTGAAATAAATGAAAACTCAGTTGGATGCCATCGAATAGTAATCGCCTTGTCTTTGTGCTTGGCCACAACCACTGAGGCAAGATCGTTGGCTAGATCACCCTGTAAATCCGTAAGTTTAATCGTACTATCATAGCTACAGGTGAGCATATAATAAGCCTCTGGTGAAAAGCGTATGCATCTGGGAATAAAAAGAGATATACAAATAACAATAGATAACTTTAAAAAAATGTAAAATTACATAATGTAAATTCCACATAGAAATATATCTAAGGAGCCCAGGAAATCCGTTGGTGAAAACCACCTCTGACTGACTTAAATATACAAATTGTTTCAAGTCCTTAAGGCCATTCATTTATCTATCATATATTAGCAATATTCTATATACATAGCCCGTATGGCATATATATAGAATATATATATGTCTTATATCTTAGCATTCACATATACTTTACCTAATTTCCGCGCTATGT